AGTCCATTCATCAATGGAAGCTCATTTTGTTCATAGGGGAAAAAAGCATAAAAATCAAAACGATATACATAACATTGATTTGAAATGAACAACTTCTAAACATATTTTCAAAACTTCAAAACCTAAACCTTATGCTAATGAAATATCTATGATGCATGCAAAATTGATGATTCAAGAACCCAAACTCTCTTTTTCTTCAAAACTAGTAAAAATGAAAAACTGCAAAGTACACAGAAATCCTCAGACATCTAATTTCTACCTCATACACCAGTTATACCACATAATTCATTCCATGAAAGTGCATTGTCAATATGTTAATTATAACAGAAATATCACTCTTTGGTCTTTAATATTAAACCAATATATGAACTACAGTTAACAATATATCAACCCAACATACAAGTAACAGTGCTCAAAGAGGTCATTATATTGTTTTATTTACTTATTTCATTAAAGATAAGAAAGAGACAGTATCCACTAACCTTGTTGGATTGCACTGTGTGTGTGTGTGTGTGTGTGTGTGTGTGTGCATACCCTTCCACACTCTGTCTCTTTTTCTCTCTCTCCCACAAACACATACAAAACTATGTACTAAAGTATGTCTTGAGTGTACAGTGCAGCTGGGATGATTCTGAAGAGACTAAGAAGTCTGGAAAAGTGAGGTACCATTTCCATAGTGTTCTGCACATTTACAGGGAAATATTTTTAAAATGGCCTTAATTGAAACTTGTAATCATAGCACCTAACTTCAGATTTGCATTCCTTCCTGTTATATGTGAATATAATGTAGACTTTAACTAAAAAAGATCTTCCAACCTATAGTTTCATTCAAAGTGACCATCTACCTATCTGCAAAGAGTAGGAAGATGACCTTGATGGAGATAAGAAGGCTGTGTTGCCTAGGAAAAAAAAAGTATATTTACATGAAAGCCATTTTCTTCTACCTTGTTTGACTATGCCTAGATGCTACCAGAGATGTTCACCAAGGAAGGCAAAAACTCAAAATGGCAACTACTGCTCCCTTTTTTGCATGCACCATGTGCCATGGCTCTAAAAAGGATCATGGGGTCACATTTGCCATCTTGACTTTTTTGAGCTATGCAGACAATCCTGACTTGACAACTTCCTACTGTTTTCTAGCTTGTAATTTTGGGGTCTCTCTATTTACTTCTGTTGAAGACCACATTTTATTTTGTTTTGCATCAGTATAACCAAATGGTAGACTGAAATACCCTAGGAGAGCTTGCTGCACAGGGACTCTAGGATTAGTAGTCTAGATCACATTTTGAAGGAGAAAGACCAGAATCCATGTAATGGATGTGAAGAGCCAATTTCTTGTTAGTTTACAATAGGCTTCTAGAAACCCCTTGCATTTGAATTCATTCCTCATATTGTCTGTGTCCTCGGGAAAGCAATAATCTTTCTTTCGCACCATTCAGCCAATCCACACCATAATTTTCAGGCTCCTGGTCATAAAAGAATACTACTAGAAGTGCAAAATCAGAAGAAGTCTGGGGGCAATTTTTCAGAGTAATATATTTTATTAAAAGGCATGAGCTGTCATTACTCTCCTGATTTTAGGCTATCATAGTCTAACATGTTTCTCCTCCTACAAAAACTGCAAGTTAAAAATATGGCTGGCATTATGCTTAGTTATTCCTTTACTTTAATGTGAGTTACATGTGGATTGGAATACCCTAGAGTCACTGGACTCAGGAAGCATATAAATTTAATAAATTATTATTCTTAATACACTCCTGAAATGAAGGAGTTTGGGGACCTTATAAGAAACAGGCATTAGAAGCTATGTGCATGTGAAGTAGGAGAAGCTTTGCATGAAAAAAAATATTTCTTTGTCATGAAATATGTCTAAGATGTGGGGACCCAAAGTTTTAAAAAGCGAAACTGTATTAAAAGGTTTCAGAAAAATTAGAACTTTAAAATTAAACTGTGTTCTAATTTCTAAGATTTGCATGAAAATCCACTGGATACTATATGATTGGAATTACATATTGTTGCAGTATGTATCAATTATTTAGCGAAACACACATGCAATTTATACAGCTAGAAAAGACTTTATAATGTCTTATTTTTAAAGAAAACAGAAGAGGGACAATTCAGTTAGGGAAGATTTTCCTGAACTTGTTCAGTGATTCCTCGGGAATAATATTTTGGTTATTATTCAGTTATTAATTATGTTTTTTTTACAAAAAAATATCACATGGGATGCTTGGCAGTGAAGGGAAGATTGACTATATTAATGAGAAAATGTTGGAATCTTGATATCATCCAAAACCCTCAGGAAATCTGAAATGTCACCTGAAGAAATTGCTCCCAAACATTGTAGTTTATATTTCATAAGTATCTGTATAAATTCTACACAGCTAGAAAATAAATATAATTTTATTGCCAAACCAGATCAAAATCCAATTCAGGCACAAGAAGGAAGTCTTTGCTCAAACACATTGAATCAAAAGGTAAAATCTAATTTGATTTAGAGATGAGTTAATCTGAATTATCCTACAAAAAAAAGTCAAAACAATAGTTTGTATTATTTCCCTCTATTTTCTGTTGTATCTACTAAGAGTAATGTAAACTTTTATCTAGTACTAACAACTCTTATGCTTTTATCTTTTTATTTTAGAAACTGGTATTTCTGTAATGGTTATAATATGATCCATAAATCAAATTATTATTACGGTCTTTTGCACAGTCAACCAGATGTTCAGACTGAATTTGGTATTTTTGTTTACTTATTGGGTCCTTTCCAAGGATCTGAGACAGGCAGATCTGATTGTTTGATGGTGTTACAGACATCATCATCATCATCATCATCATCATCATCATCATCATCATCATCATCATCATCATCATTATTATTATTATTATTATATCCCATGACAAAAGGCTGTAGATGGCCTATGTTGACATGTACTCTAGATGCTGAAAAAATGGCAATATAATGGCTGGACATTGCTGGAACAATGCACTTGCTAGGGCACATATTAAGTCTACTCTTGTTAAAATGAAATCATTTACAAATCACAGTGGAGACAGATTTAAAATTAAAAATATTTCTGTAAATGGTATATTAGAAAAAACATATTCAGAGGATTTGGTGGGAAACTCACGTGCAAATTTTCAGAAGGGCACAAATTGCTAGGTTGTATGTAAGTGGAATATAATGATGGAACAACTATACTAGTGTTTGAAAATGTGTAAACTCCCAAAAGTCCTCAATCGGTTTGCCTGGTTGAAGAATTCTGGGAGTTGAAATACATATATCTTTAGATTCACGATTGTGAAATTGTGCTGAGCTACACACAAGCCAAATGAAGAAAATTGGGTATCAACTATAGAACTGATAGCCTGACTCAGTGGCTAAGCCATATGGCTCTCTTAAATAACATGGTTCTGATTTTAAGCAAAAAAAAAGAAAAAGAAGGGGGACTTTTCTGCTTTCCAGCTTAGTTTTGATTGCCTGAAGAAAAGAAGAGGAAAGTTTGGGGGGAGTTTACAGTATTTTATACCCATATTCATTATTTTTGGATATTCATTTGGCAGTTTAAAATTAGCAATAGAATCCATGTAAGACATTTCATTTACTTAGAAAATTTTCACAGTTTAGCTGAAATAACTGAGCACCCTAAACATTTCATTTAAATGATTATAAAATTAAGGCTACATGTATATAGAGGATATAGGGGAAAGCTTTTATTTTCCAGGAATCATCTTTGCTCGGCTGCCCATTTTGGGAGAGCATGACAGCATTCTCACAAAATGGCTTTTTTCTTTTAGGCTTATGGATGGCAAGCACTGAATGGTAACTACACATCATTTTTAATGCAGTAGAATATGTACTTAGTTTTAAACAGAATGGCTCATTCTTAATGTGATCATGGTACATTTGTTTCTCCCATCCCCTGCCAATAATGTACCACATCCTATAGCTTGTTTAAACTATGGTAAGAATAAATTTGGATAAACAATATTTTAAATTCAGGTTTGTTCTTAAAGTATAAACAAAACAAAACAAAACAAAACAGTTCCCTATTCAATTAGCTTAAAATGAGAAGTGCGTTGTCACAACTTATTCACATAATGGCAGACTATTACTCCTTGCACATATGATGAGTGCTTGTAATTTTCAAATAGCTTTATTGAAACAGTGATTCATTCATTTCTTTCTTTCTTTCTTTCTTTCTTTCTTTCTTTCTTTCTTTCTTTCTTTCTT